GGCCGGACGCCAAACGGTCGTACGTAAACGAAACTCCCCCCCCCCCCCCCTTTTTTTTTTCTGAATCTAGAATGAAATTGAGATTCTAACGAAACAAAATTAAGCGGTTATGTTCGTACACGCGTTGAGAATAGCCAAAAGCCTCGGAATAGACCCTTTTTTAGTGCGCGCCATCTATACTCGCTTTCGCCTCAAGAACCGTAGTAGAAGAAGTCCGGCTCTTCGCGGATCATTACTGATTTCACTATTTATGCGGAGAGTTAAGACATGTGTAGGCGGATTTTAGATTAGATATATGTCATCTTATCAAGACACACGCGTTTCAAACGCCCAAACAAAGCATCTGCTCTTCTTACGGCAACCAAATCTTGTAAGAACGACTTCGCGCGGCGAATGAACAATGCGCAAAACGTCCTTTCTTCCTTGAAGTGAAAACGAGTATATAGGAACTGCTTCGCCAATAATCGGAGTCCGCCATTGTTTGGAAACGTACTCCTGGAATGTATTGGATCCAAGCACTGCGTCAGTAATCAGCGAGGATTCGGATAGAATCACACGCTTCGTGCCCATATAGATTGGATGGACGGATAAAGGCCGTACCCTTTATAACGGGCGGCAGCTTGCGCCACCTAGCCCAATACGTGGCAACCGCTAAAGTTGCTTAATGTCTTTATTTTTTTACGTGTTTTTTTTTTGTTTTTGTTTTTGATTGCGAGAGCCATTAGTGGTGAGGCTTCGCAGCAGATCCTGGCGTGTGTGTACGGTGTGGCCCGCTAACTTCAGTGGGAAAACAGTGTCGTCATATACGACACCATGCAAAGTGACGTCACGCGAGGTTGTTTTTTGTTTTTTTTCCTTCTATATCTTTTAGGTGAATTCTGACATCGCGTGACAGTGTAATCGCTACCAGAGTTACCGGAAGAGTCTAGCGAAACTCCTCGAGCACTTCCGAAAAGCTATTGTGACCTAATTAGAGCGGCCAATCATGACGTACTAAAATATCTACCACAGAAAACAGTAAAGCGATTTTCGGGCCGAACGAAGCCTCTAATAGGACATATGTACCAAATGTACGCTTCTACGAAATGGTGGTGCATTTTTAAGCACAAAGGCCCGTTCACACACTTGCAACCGAGTAGGACCGACTGAGACAAGACCGGCTCTTAAGCCTCTTGCGACGGCTTGGGACCTGCTCCTCAGCAGCGCGTACGGTCCTACGCCGTCGCAAGAGGCTTAAAAACCGGCCCTGTCCCGGTCAGTCCTACTCGGTTGCAAGTATTCCATTCCAGAGACCAATATTTATTAGCATCAACTGAATAATTTACATTACAGCATCAATCCTAGTCATCCTGTAAACTCGTCAGCTTTTGCAGCGTTTTCTAGACTGCGTTTACGCCTAAAAAAACTAAATATCTCCCCGTTTTCTCTTTTTTCTTTTTTGCTTTATCTTCTTACTAGTGGTTTACATTCTCACTTCATTGGTCCTTTTTTTTTTTTTTTGCTTTCTCTTCTTTCTTAGTACTTCTTATAGTTTCAATTATCACTTCATTGGAATTTCATTATGAATGTCGGCGCCAGTTTGTGCAGTCAGACATTCAATGCGTCACACTAGTAATGAGATTGAAGTTACTCCTAGATCCTGTACTTGAGGAAGAGGAATTCCTTTGATGTCAAAGTATGTGACAGATGCGCGACATAGGGGAAGAAATACCGGGCCGCTCGAGATATTAAACGAACAATATCCTGAAAAGTTGGGCCTTTCGCGTTTCATTCTTCCGCCGAGAAAGTTCTTCGGAGAACGCCAACGGACCTTCACACTGCGTCTTTATAAACTGAAACCAGGCGAACAAAGGCTTTTGCTTCTTTTAATGTCCGCGACGTCTTTTTCTTATTTTTTGCGTTTTATATTTAGTTTTAATGTTTACAATCTCAAGATGAGCTAATACTCTTCGCTGTACGCCATCTAAGCGCGCTGTGCGCGTGTGTGTGCATTCCGTCTTATACAGACGGCAGTTCTGATCGACAAGAGCGAGAACCTACGTCCAGACACAGTATACAGTCTCCACCAATATTAAAGACCCACTCAAAGCGTGTGGCCGAAACCAACGTTACTAGATCAAAGTCTGCTGACAACCTTCTTAAAACGCCTGACGCCTTTTTTTCTTTTTTTTTTCTTTTTTTTTTGTGGGGCGTTTACTGGGTGGCGCTCGGTATCCGCTAGCCCCAGAGTTCCTGCCTCTAGAACGCGCAACCCTGGGAGCCAGGGTCGCGCGTTCAGCCATGTTGAAATCATAAATTATGCGGGAAACCTCTTCTCGCGCGTGCAGGAGCCGCGCTCCGTCGATTGCGACCGGTCACGCAACTAAATTCGGCGCCGGCACCGCGCATGGAATAGAGGAAAGAAGGAGAAGGAAGCAAAAACAGGGGGACATACGCCGGGGCGCGTGCAACGTTCATATCGGCAACTTTCCTGCACGGCATAGGATTCTTTGCTCCTCACGTGATCGGTCTCAGCGAAAAACGGCGTGACGGCACGTGGAAAACAGACGCGCAACTCTGGCTCCCGTATAGGGTGCCGATACAGGAACTCTAGTTAGCCCTATGGACAGAAATGGCGGAACAAGTTGAACGTTGGATGCGCATACCCTGCGGCGTAAAATGATTCTATAAGGAGTATTCACTGGACGCCATATTTCTGGGTGCTTTTTAGAGCGCATGCTCAGAGCGAGATTTCATTAATAGGCTGCTAAGACAGGCAATGTTGATGGTGCGGAATGCACGTTGGAGAAGAACTGTGGAAGCTCGGCTTCAGCACGCGCTCAGCAGTCGCGCACACGGATATGGCCGCCAGTGAATACTCCCTATAGCGAGTATTCACTGGCGGCCATAGCCGTGTGCGCGAATGCTGAGCGCGTGCTGATGGCGAGCTTCCACAGTTCTTTTGCAACGTGCATTCCGCACCACCAAGAGTGCCGGTCTTAGCAGCCTATTGATGTGAGCACATTTTGAGCATGCGCTCTAGACAGCCCGCACAAATATGGCGCCCAGTGAATACTCCTTATTGGGGTTTTTATGGTAAACACAAAGTTTGCGCAAAAAAATCGTCGTACGAGGAAAGTCATTTACCGTTGCCCGTAGAGGCTTTTCCGCTGGTGACGCTAGGAACGCGATCCGTCCGTACCTGCTTGCGAGCAGAGAAGTGTTTTTCCAACGACGCCCTTCCGTGGAGCTCGTCAACTTATAAATCTAAGAGCGTTGGGCAAGACGGCGGCTGGTCAGGCACTTCGACAAGGCGCATCGAGTCCGTTCGGCTCTGTTATCGAGTTTCGCTCCCCTCGGAGTGACGTGGTACTGTCCACGACCCGCGCCGCGCCCTCACTTGTCGCAGAGTCAGCCATGCAACTCCGAGTGGGTCATTTTATATTCGTATTTGTCATTTTATATTCGTATTTACACAGGCCCACTGTTGGCGGTTGCTACCTTCACACTGCAGGGACTGCAAGTGCCAGCCTAATTTTAGTGAAGTCATTGTTTTGGATAAACATACAAACAGATTAAAAAGGGAAATCGTCGAGGCCTTTTTTTTTTATCTCTAAACTTGGCGGGAGATGCGTCAGCGAACCGTGAGTGGCGTTATCTGAAAAAGAATTCGGGTACCTTCGATCAACTATGAAGGGCATTACGTAGCCTCTGATATGGCCTGTCCCGACATAATAGGCTGCTTAATAGGCGCGTGTGTGGTGTATATTCTTTTTCTGGTTAAGGATGCTTTTTGTTTTATTCCTTCCTTTTTTGTGTATTAAACAACAGTTGTTTGTTCACCGTCGTCCTGTCGTTTATGTTTCTTTGCCCTTGTCCAAGCTTTTTGCCATTGTTCCTTCCCAAGATGTCCTTCATATCGGTGGAGACTGTACATCAAAAGCCACTGAGCTCGATTCAGACGCGAGAGTGAACCGTGACAGGCGTTTATTCGTTTCTAAAGGGTGGTTAACTCACCTGCGTTAGAGCGAGATAGGCTGCGTTGCTTGCGACCAAAGAAGACACTGGCGCCACCTACCAGGGAGCCCTGGAACCCTTCCGATCTGCGTGTAGCTAGACTGTAGGTTTTGTAATATTTTCGAAAACAAATATGTACGTACTATACATGAGAAATAATTACTTATAACGTTGTCAAAATTGCTCGAAGCACACAGTGAAAGAATACGCGTCAAATATACGCGAGTCGGAAATGTTCCAGGGCTAAATGATAGGTGGCGACAGCGTGTTCTTTCGTCCAGAGCCGTGTACTTGGAGAGTGTGGCCATTCATGGGTTTGAATAGGCTAATTTAAGCCGTTTTAGCGTCGCTAGAGTAAAAAGGTATAACTCTTGGTGACTGAAAACTTGGCGCATGTGAGGTTTTCGTCACGTCCGTATTCAACGGTAGAATAAACGAACGTGCGCTCCAAACCCGAACAAACTGCGTACTTGCGATCATTGCTGCTGATTAGCCGTTGACGCTATGTGTCACCGAGACGCCGAGATTGAACGATTCCATTTCGCGCTTTAAATGTCGCTACCAATATTGCGATGTCGCGGTCTGCTGATTGGTCGACACTGTGTCACACTTTGAGTTCACGCTCTAACCGCGGGGAGAATATTCGGCGCTGGCGGCAGGCTTTACTCCGCCCCATTGGCCAAACTCTCCCAATATATACGGCTCTGCTCTCCTCATAAGCAGTCGGTAACACTGAAACGCAAATTGATAAGCCAGCTTGCAAACCGCGGCCGCCAAGGAAGTTAGGCTAACAGCTGATTTGAGGTTAAGATGGCCCAACCGCGTCACCCGAGGCGTCACCGCTTCCGCGGTTCCCGTAAGCTGTAAGTGTGGAGATTGAGCTAGAAAGAAAGAGCGAAGGAAAGAAAAAAAAAAAAAAGAAAGAAAAGGAATAAAAAAGAAAAGAACAATAGTTATTCTTCGTACTATACGTCGGAGAGAATTTCAAGTGGTGTTTGAATTACCTTAAGTTCCGAGGCTTTGTCACCAGTGGCAGCGGCAGGTTTGGAAAAAACCTAGACAGGAACATTAAAAAAAATTGTAATCGGAAACAGAAAGTAAATGGCAAACTAAAGCATTGAAAATTAATGTAATAACCAAACTGAACAAAAAGACAAAAAAAAAAGCCTAACGTAAAAAAAAATGTTGCAAGGCAAAACAAAACAAAAAAAGGAGGAATTTGCAAAACTGTCCCATAGGCAGTACAACACGAACAAGCATATCGGAAAAAAAAAAAAAAAAAAAAACTTTACGATCGTTCTTTTCTTCTTTTTTTTTTAGTGAATACGGAATTTGCATTTAAAAACCTCGCATGTCATATCGTTTTATTTGCAGACGGAAATCACAAATGCTCGATATACTGGGCACGCGACATACGTATATTTGCCTCGCTAGAAATCGAGAAAACACAAGGGGACATTCGATAGCAGGTTAGTGATTAAATTCCTGGCGGAATCACGCCGCGAATGCAACTACGCCCAGGTACGCCCCCGTGAAAGCACACAGGTACAGATGCAGCACTTATACAGGCACAAACGCGCACGCAGAAATAGTCACGCGCAGAAGCACGCAGGCGCACACACACACACACACACACGTACCCCGGTAGGCATAAAATAAATGGCAGAAATATGTTTCACGGCACAAGCCGTATATATAAAGTACGGGGCGCAGCTCGCGCGAATACGGCATGCTTGTCATGTTTCGTTTTACCCGTGCATTGTAGCGTAAGGCAAACATCAAGCTGAAGCGCCTGATTCGGTGGACGAGGAGCCTTAATAACATGCTGCCGAGTAGCCACGTGCTGGCTACAGCAGTATTTGTGACAGCCTTTCAGCTGCCTGAGAAGTACGGCACATACTCTTCACATGGTTGAAAAAACCCCGAGACTGCGGGTAAACGACACGACACATTTCCGAAATCTGGTTATATAGGCACTTTGATACAAAAGAACAAAAAGGGGAGAGGGTGAGAACCCCAAAAAATGCCACTCACCCTTTCCCCCTTTTGTTCTTTTGTATCGAAGTGCCTATATAACCAGATTTTAGAAAATAAAAATTTCAGCTGTGTTAGAGACTTTTTAGTGTCGTGTCATTTACCCGCAGTCTCGGGTTTTTTTCAACCATGTGCAATGTACACCAGCTCGTTTGCGCCCTTACTTTTTATTCACATACTCTTCGGGGTATGTGAACAAAAACGTGCAAAAACGTTCGTGCTAATTATACGTCTCGCTCGTTACAAAAACCCACAGTACATGAGAGTCCGCGCAAACGCGCGGGAGTTTGCAAAACACGGGAATTGAAAGCCTCTAAACACGCACGTAATGTAAAAGCAAGCGCAAACAGCCAAAATAATAATAAAGAAACACCGGACGCGCACGCGAACTTTTATTGCACTTTTGTGCACACACAACACACAGCCACACGAGAATCGCTATTGGATGACATAAAAAAAAAAAATCGAGGGACTTTAGTTTGACAAGCGTGGTGTCTGCCCTTGTCTCGAGAATCGGGAAGGTGAAAATCGGCCCTCGGTAAACTCAGCGCGACATTTCAGACCCGCGGGTCAGACCATGAAGGAACGCTCTCCCAACGGCGAGTTTGTTTGGCGCTTCTTCAGACGCCGCCCTCCTTTGATCGTGCCGTCATGAAGAGGCGACGCGTCACCTTTTTTGGCTCGTGGCACATTCCCTACGCGCGAAACCACTCGCCCCTATTAATCAGCAGTGGCTCCCGGCCACACGACACCGTTTACGGGCGCGCTTCTTAATGGGGAATTGTAGTAGACCGTTTCCGCAGCCCGCTAAGCACCCGGACAGCGCTCCGTAATCCGCCACAAGACCTTGGACTATGCAGACAAGGCTGGCGGCGCGCATGCGCAGCTGCGGCGTTTTCTTCACGGATACCGTAGCGGAGGAGAAAAACGGTCTACTACAATTCCCTATTCGTCTGCCCAGTAACGGCCGGGGGGACACGCCGCCGGCGATGCTCCGCCATTTTTTTTCGCTCAGGAGAGTTTGCGGGTAGCAAGTCAGGGACAGGAGCAGACGAAAGGCTGGCGGGGATTTCAGAACACGGAGCCCTCGGTGGAATGATTAGTGGGTAGAGGCATAGCGATCCTCTCTCTATACTCATAAAGCCTGGTAGCTCGACGACGGAGCCATAGAGTGCCCGGTCTCAGATTTGGAGTGCGAGGATCTGGTAGCACAGAGCATCGAAGTGCCATTTCTCGTGGAACCTGGACGTCAGCGCACAGCTTTTGCAGCGGCGAGGACCCGAAACGCACTCGTTCGCTCGGGAGAAGCGTGTTTCGGCGTCTCGCCGCAGCGGGGCGCCAGTCACGTGGCTCTCCTCTTATCCGTCGTCTGCCGCTCCACCTTTTCCATTTTGGCGGCCGCTTCTCGTCGCTATCTGCAAGGCTTTGTCAGTATATAGGAGGCTCTGCCACTGCACTCGTCGAACGCCGAACGCCGGCTTCCGGCGTTTGGCGATCGCGTTCGAACGCGCACGAACAGCGAGTAGAGACTTCGCGTCTACGCCCTAATCATTCCAACAAGGGCTCGGTGTTCTGACGTCCCCACGCGCTCTCGTCTCCTCCTCGCCCTCGGTTTCTATTCGCATAGGCCACGCACTGCGTTTTTTTAAGCTGTCGATGACTACCGTCCACGGGCTTTTATTATACTTCGTTTCACCTCAAGTCCGAACGCAGCTCACGCTACGAACTGATGGGACCATCCTTTTAGAAATCCATCAGGCAACATTGGTGGTCGCCATTGCTTGGACACGAAGCTCGTGATTGGCTCCGAGTGCTCGCCGAAAGATGACGTAGGCCTCGTGTCCAATGAACGCTCAGAGTACGCGAACAAGCGGTGGCGTACAGGCGATGGCGCGGACTTTTGAAAAGGGTCCATTTAACGGCGTTTCTGTGCATATTCCATCATCGCTGAACGAATCATGTAGAAGGATGGCATAGTGACTTGCACATTCGACGCTGTTTGATTGGCGCCGCTAACTCACAGCGTTGGTCGTGTCTGGGGACTTTAGCTGAAACGAACATTGTGTTTCCAAACAAGCCCGCTTTGCCCACACTAGGTGTGGGCACTGCGCGTGCGCGGAAACCAAATTCGGGAGGAGTTAAAGCGTTTGCGCATGCGCAGTACCGAAAGCAGTGCCACCGCAGTGGCGTGACGTCAGTGAGTGTAGTGGCCCTATAGACCGTTTACGTGCGACGGTTGCCACGTTGAAATATGACGCAGTTGGGTTGGGCGAGAAGAGCTAAAGTAAATAGTTTCAGCATAACTACGAGAAAAAAAGTATAGCCAAAAACAAAGTATTGAACTATTGAATTCTAGCGCCTTCCAATCGGCAAATAAAATGGCTAGCTATTTCGCCAGAGCTAGGCTACATCAGAATTCAACATGGCGGCCGCCAAGAAAGAAAAAAAGGAGGCCAACCGCGATGCGAAATAACCGGAAGATGCGCATCCCTTCCGGTCGCCGGAAGTGACGTGTACCCTGCCATCGAAACCGGCGAAGTGCATTTCGCTGTCACGGAAGAACGATAGAGCAGAAAGTAACAAACACACACATACACAAAAAAATGCCGGCGCACAGGGGTCATCCTTTGGGGACTTCGAAAGAGCCACCCAAATCGATGCTTTCAAAGCTTGGGATACACATGTCTCAACATACGCAGTTATGCTGGAGGCGTTTTGCGATCAAATTGTTAAAGGGATACTCGAACGAAATTTGAAATTCGTGTTAAAAAATAGATTGAATATGATCCACAATAGCCGTAAATGACAATCGCACGTTTGTACTTTGAGCCTGGTGGCTGTATTTTTCGTTATAAACGACCCACTCTGGCAAGGGCTCGGAGAACAGCCAGCGGAGACCACGTGACATCCGACGCAATCGTGACATAGTTCGTCTCGGGACGAGCAAAGCTACGGCGAGGCTGACGTCGAAGAGGGTGGCCTAGTCGTTCCAGCCACCGAAGCGGCTCTTTTGTACGAATTTTGAGTGACGGGTTAATCTTTCTGGAACACACAAAAGGGATTCTCGGGAAGAGGGGAGTACCTCCTTCCCCTCTTCTCTCGTCGTGGCAGGAGGCGAGACAGTTAACGTCACTACCTCTCAAGGTTCATTGACGGGTATTACCATAGCCTCCGAGATCCCGAAGCGCGCCCGCGAAGGCTTCTCCGGCCGTCCCATTCGTCTCGCTCCCCAGCAGAAGAGTGTAATTGCGCTAACTCCGTCGCTCGCCGCGAGGCGGCGCTCCCAGCCCAGTCATGGACAGCATGGCGCGAGGCAGAAGAATTCAAGAAAAAGTCTTGTTACGTCGAGTTACTGCAACTTATACTTACAATTTTTTTGTGTATTGTGGTAGAACGGTGAACAGCTGTTCTGGCGACGCAGATAGAAAATTTGTTGTGCTTATTTAATTACTGTATTTAATTTGAGATATTCATCTGGACATGTTGCGGCTAGCGCTGCAAGCTCGCCTTTTGGTATATTTGATTGCAATCTGTAGGGACCGGGCCGGATACGGGCCTTGTATTCACATCTACAAGGGGGGCCAAAGCAAGCCAAACCGACCATTACTTTCTTCTTTTTTTTTTAACGGCTTGTTCTTTGGAATTATGTTCGGGGGTTGGGAGAGGAACCACAGTGGGGGATAAACAGATACTAAAGCATGTGTGTGTGGGTATATGTTTTTGTATGGTTCGGTGTGTGCAGCGAATGCTCTTCCAGAGCTAGGACTAGCGGCACGGCGTTTCTTTTTTCCCCGGCGGTGCCGCCATCATACAAGCGCTTCTCACCACAAATACGCACATACACGCGCCTAAACAACGTGTGCACCCTCGCCAGCGTAAACCATCTGTACGCACGAGTGCTTGCATCCCCAATAGGGGTGAAGAGGATTCCCGGAGGAGTACTTTTCCTGAACAATTTCTCGCAGACCACCGCAAGCGACAACGACATTGCATTTTTTTTTTTTTTTTTTTTTTTACGGTT